CTTTATTTATTTTTAGGATAGTGGTCACGCTCTGCCACTCAGGCTGGAGTACAGTGGGTGCCATCATAGCTCACTGTAGCCTCAAACTCTTGAGCTCAAGTGATCCTCCCACCTCAGCCTCCCAAATGCTGGAACTATAGGCACTCGCCCTGTGCGCTGGGCTTATTTTTTAATTTGTTTTGTAGAAGACAGTGTCTTGTTTTGTTGCCCAGGCTGGTCTCAAACTCCTGCTTCAAGCATCCTTCTGCCGGCCTCTCAAAGTGCTGGATTACAGGCATGAGTCACTGCACCTGGCTGATTTTATCATTCTTTCCATATTCATTAGTTGTACTATTAGCTTTTTAATTGTACGTTGTGCAAACCACTCCTCATTATGGTCTAGCACTGTCTGAATGATACAAGAAACTTCGTTGAATACCCGATCCCAATCTTTGGACTAGTTATTATCAATATTTTATTTCTATGTATCTTAAAATTCCACAAGTCATTATTATTGTGTTTTAAATAGTCAATATATACCATCTTGCTCTGTTGCCCAGGCTGCAGTGCAGTGGTGCGGTCTCAGCTCACTGCAACCTCCACCTCCCAGGTTCAAGCGATTCTCCTGCCTCAGTCTCCTGAGTAGTTGGGATTACAGGTGCCTGCCACCACGCCTGGCTAACGTTTGTATGTTTTAGTAGAGACAGGGTTTCACCATGTTGGCAAGGCTGGTCTTGAACTCCTAACTTCAGGCGATCCACCCTCCTCGGCCTCCCAAAGTGCTGAGATTACAGGCATGCGCCACTGCGCCCGGCCTGAAAAGTCTTTAAAGTTTATAGGATAGATTCACTGTAATATAATTCTAGGTTGGCAGACTTTTAATTTTTTTGTTTTTCAGCACCTTAAAGATACCATTCTATTGTCTTCTGGTTCCTTAGTTTTATTGAAAAGTTAGCCATAAATCTTATTAATGTTTCTCTGAAAGTTCTGTGTCCTTGTAATTCTGCTTATCTTAAGGACTTTGTGGGTTTTAGCAGTTTGAGCACAGTGTAACTACAGTGTAGTCTTCTTTGTATCTCCTTGGTGCTCACTGAACTTCCTAAATCTGTGGCTTTATGTCTTTTTCAATTTAGGGACATTGTAGACATTATCTCTTCTAATGTTACTTCTACCCCATTCTCCCTTCCACTCCTTCCGGGATTCCCATTCTAATTATTTAAACTCTTGACTGTGTCCCAAGTGTCTCTTATCAGCTGCTTCATTTTTCCAGTCTTATGTCTGTCTGCTTTAGTTTGGATGTTTTTCTATTGACCTATTCACTAATCCTGACATCTGCTGTGTCTGCTACGTTGTTCAATCCATCCAAATAAGTTAATTTCAGATAGTGTCTTTCAAAGTTATTTGACTCTTTTTTACAGATTCCAACATTCAGTTGAAATTTTCCATCTTTTTATCCATTTTATTAACACACTAGTCACAAGTCCCTGTTTGTTAAATCCATTATCTGGATTATCTAGGGGACTGCTTCTATTTACACTTTCTCTTGATTGCTGGTCATATTTTCTTGACTCCTTGCATTCTAGTAATTTTTTTTTTTTTT